GTAATTGATCAAGTGAACAGTTATAGTCAACACAAAATTTTCAATTAATACTCCTTAATTTCCTTTTTTTCTTCCATATTTCTTGCTGCAGTAATTACAAGAAACAAAAAAATTTAGTGCGAAATAAAATATGCAATTAATATTCAGTTTAGAAACTTCAAATAATCACTCGGACTTTGTTAACCCATAAGATAAAAAAATCTTTGATGTGAAGTGATATGAATAATTGAATCTTACACGAATCAATTTCAGCTTTAATCTACAAATGACTGTATTCTTAAACTACAGAAATTCGAAATATCCCATGAAAAGAATGTGAACAAAGGTCAAATACTGCATCGCAATGAGCATGAACCCCACACGGCGGTGAAGAAGAACTTTTCTCAGAACAATCTCAAAAAAGCGAAATGTCTTGGCGTAGAGCCAATACTCGGCCATAGGCGGGCATTCAAATGTTATTGTTGGCGGTTTTGTCGATTGTTACGGCGGAAATTGATGATCAATTGGTAGGAGCCGAGAATTCGAATGCGGTAAATGTTACTATTAAAAGGATCAAAAGATTTCTTATAACTATGACATATAAAGATTATATTGTAGGAGTTGCTTAGTTCAAATATATGATATATCTGTTGCACGCACATAAGATTGCAGTGGACGAGTATTGGCTCTACGACTAAAAATATTTGCCCAGTGAAAACACACATTATCATTGCTATCATTAAATAAATGAATTTTGATAGGGAATATATAGGGATAGAGACGGAACAGTGCTATGTTCTTGAGAAATGAGGTCACCATCGGATAGTGATTGCAAACTGCACAGGGCTTCCGGTATGTGGTCATCCTGAAAGAATCACTGATAAATGGAGTGATATCACTGCATGCAAAATGGTGCGCTATTTGATTTAATCTCCCAAAAGTCACTCATCTGTTTCGCTCATCAATTGACGCTACCTTTGACAATATGACTACATGAATATCTCTCGGGTTCCTCGGAAAATGCTGTTGCAATTTACATGCTAATCCGTTGAACTTCCAATATGAGATATTTACGCAATCTTCAAATATGGTTAGTGGAATAGATTTGTCATTCATTTTCAATCGAGAATAACATATATATAGTAATCGCATTACTATATATACATAGTAAAAGTAATCAAGTAATCATATATATCGGAATTTATCTGACCAATTCGTTTTCTTATTTTTATCCATTAAAAATTCCCAATGTTTATTTCACTAGAAAGAAGAAGTGAAAAGTAAAATAAACTACTTTTACTTACTTTGATTTTAATTTCTATCACGTCGTTTATCATTCATAACAAAATATTTCTGCCCTTAGTTTTGTAATATTGAAGCTAATAGTACCGACTAACAACGGTTATCTTAAATGGAACAGACTTCTGATTCAGTTTAAATTTTGCTTATTTTTGTTTGAAATTCTTTTTCCATTATCATATGCTTAAGTTTGCGTATTTATAATATGGTTTACTCCGAAGAATGAGTAAATTGGAGCAAGAAGTAATGAGAATAACTGTAAACATTTTATATCAGAAATAATATCATTACAGTAATTACTAGTAATTTTGTGTATGACAAATTTCCCCGAAGGATTATTAAATTTAAAATTACTAAATGAATTCTTCAATGCTTAGTACAGCAAAAGATTTATGAGATAGGAATAAAGTAATGAAACAGCGATGAATAACAATTTTGCACTTTAGAAATTAGTTGTTGACACTTTTCAATAAAATTGGTAACAGCAATATAGAGCGAAACAATGATCTAAATTCTAAAATTAAGTCGAAAATATTTCTAGTTTTTAACGCAAAAATTGTAACTGGTTCCAGACAACAAATCACACAGATGTGCAATCAAAGATACATACGGACAGATGATGGATATGTTTTTTTGACAAAAAACACATTTTAATGGCTAAATTAGGGCATAAAACTAGATATAAACCTTTTTTTTTGATTACAGCTCTTCGATTAATGCAGCAATTCACCTAATTTACCGATATCTGGCACTAAGATGTTTTCTATTTTGATGCTGACAGGAAGCAAATAAGATCCGTGGAACAACTCGATTTCATATGCTCTCTCTCTCTCTCTCTTTTTATTTCTTTTCTACTTATACATTAATGAATTCCTTAATATTCAATGATTTATTTTTACTTTGAAAGATTAAAATCCTTTTTACTGAGCGATTATTTTTAATGAAATGTACCAATGCGAGTTATTAGTGGCCTTTTTTTCAATTATTTAATCATCGCATAAATTTCATAAAATACATCGGGAAATGATATCCTACAATCAATCAATCAATAAACAGGCAATTAAACAGAGAAGCTTTCTATAAAATGAAGTAAACACTATAGCTGAACGATTTGATAAAAAATTAAACGGCCGAAATTATTTAGAACTAATGTAATCAATTGGTATTGGATTGAATGAAACGATGCGCTGATTTTATATTGGGAACTAGACATTACATTATATGTTATGATTTTCAGGAGAAATAATGTAATATGGATTTAAGATGCGGAAGGACATCCGGAATATTTCTATTAGTTACTGCCATTTGTAGTAGAAATGAGGAGAAAAAAGCGGAATTGTCTGCTAATTATTTCAATTCATGATATATAATTTGACGAGTTGAATTGGTGAAAAATTATTAGTAATATTTTGTAATAAGGCTAGAAATCTTCTACATATCCTTTTACTTAACGCATTAAACATAATTTCTCAGTAAGATTATAACAATGTTATTCTTGCATCTTATCAGATGCATGCCTTATTCATCTTTCTGATAACTGTGATCTGCTATGAGCAAATTGTCATTTTGATACATTTCTGCTTAGTTCCGGAACTCTTTACTAATCAATAATTCAAAATAGAAAATGATAATTAGTTGCTTTTTCACTAGAATTTATCAATAAACAAGAAAAGTGGATAAGCCACTTCTTCAGGAGCAGGACGGGAGCTTTTTTCAATCGGTTTATCTATATTTTACAGTCTTTATGCTTTCTGCTTTTACAATTTTCTTCTCAGCCATAATATAAAACCAATGAATTAATATAATTAAAATTTAGCAGCTTGTGCTTCACGTGCACCAACTATATATCCTACTTTTTTACGACGTTTTTCAACAATATACTAAGAGATTTTATATTTTTTAATCCATGAACAATTCCGCATATCATGCGGATTTGTTGAACTGACTTAACTACAATGTCTCTAATGCTAAGAACTTAAAACTCAAGAACTTCGAATAGCATCTTCAAATAGCTAATTCCGCTACTTTCTCTTTATTTTCTTGTCTCTGCTTTAAAATTTGCGGAATCACCAAAAAATGTTCTTGCTAATCCTATTCTCTATTTTTGATCACTAGATAAGGTTGACCCATCCATACTTATTTCGGAATATCATACCTTTTTAGTACTTGAAGAATAATATCATCTACTCCAGAACTGCTAAAATTAGTCCCAGCAATTGTAAATGACACCTTCGCCAATCAAAAAAAAAAAAAAACAACAAAATACTCAGAAGTAAACGGAAAAAAGATGAGCTTTCTAAGCCCAATGAGCCAATGACAACATCAGCCGATCTTTGATTCCTTTACCAATGAAAGCAATATCAATCTAGCCACTCAATTTTAACTCTTTTAGCTTTTTTCATATCTTAAAGGATAAGATGTAAACTTTCCGGTTAACCAACAGGAATAAAATATACGAATTCGCGTCTCACGAATACAAATTTCTGAAAATTCAAAAAAGTTTCCCAAGTCAGTTTCAAATTACCAAAAATACAAAGTTCACCTTTTTTAAAGGGAATCAAATTAAATTTACATCAAACAACTACCATTTCTTTATTCGGTAGAAATATTCAATGATTTCTTAGGAAATCATTTTCGTTTTATCTTTTGTATTTGGTAAAGATCAATACGAGGTTGCAATGAATATAGTAGTACCTACTTGTTCAAGTTTAGTTTTAAAATCATCCCTCAGCTGAGAGTGCTTTATTCGTTGTTGCATAAAGGAAATTTGTCAAATCACAACGAAATGTAGAATATTGATTAGCACCTTTTACTCTATCATTCTTCACCAAGTGTAACATAAATGAAAGGACGTTCATTCTACTATTTAACTTGCAATCCACGTGTAAAACTATCAACTTGCATACTGTCATATTACTACAAAAATAGAAACTATTTTCATGGAAAAAGTTTTATGGCAAAAACAATGCAGTATGAAGAAAAACATTTAAATCATACATTATGACAATGATAAAAATATTTTTAAATTGTTATTCATAAGAAAAACATCAATGATGAAATTTTTTGAAATAGTTTCATTTTTTCTTTGGAGGAGCGGTGAAGGGAAAGAAAGAGAAGAAATAATAATAAAGAACAAATATAGATTGTATAAAGGGTAACATAAACAAATTATCTAGAAAAAATGATCCCATAATTGCAATTTTTAGTAAATGCAACTGATAAAATAATTCCAATATCATAACTTATGTCGACATTTGACACCGATTTATGTCATACACCACCGCGTGATTAGGAAAGTATTCACATGCTTTTTTATAATGTAAGATTATATACTGACATTTTCATATAATTTCCGAACTCGAAATATATGTAAAAAATTTTCGAAAGTTCTTAAAGAAGGGCATGATTAGGCATTTCGACTGCTTTTGTAAGAAAAGCCTTACTTAATAAACTCAGGAATCCTGAGAATTTTAAAAAAACTTGAAAGCAAAAACTGTGAAATTGTGCATTAAAGGAGAATTTCAATATTTTAAATAAATTCCGATAAAAAAAGGAAACCAAAAGTGCTTGTGGAAATATTGGTGCATGAAGTGAGGTGAAATTTTAACAATAAGGAGATGAACCAACACACGTAATTTTCACTGACAGCGATGAGATCTATTAGACGAGAAAAATATTCGAAACTTCTTTATGTAAGGGATTTAAATTTAATACAGTTGATTTCAGTGACTTATTCGTTCTAATTTTCTTGCCGTATCGGACAGCTCGGTTGCAATTGTCGATATCTCTACAAAAATTCAATTTCAGTTTCTTCAAAGCTTTTTCTAGAAGATTTCAAGGTCTAAATTTACAGCATTTAAAATACAATAAGCTAGTTGTAACAACGTCTACCGAAGTATGGATAATTTATAAAGAAAGAAAAAGTGGGGGCAAATCTGTTGCATAGGAGATCTCTGTTCCAATAACAGAATGTTAAGTCTTCATAAATGCTTGGAAAAGAAGCCAAAAACAAATCCTACTTCGATTCGAACAGATTGGTGTTTTTGGTGGAGAAGGAATCGGTGTTCGAATTTTCATCAATCGCTCAAGGAATCTATCCAACTGACTAAAACGAATATTGTCGTGTAACGTTTCCAATGAACGAAGTGGAGGCCAAAAACGGCGAATTTCTGAAATAGTAAAAGTCTTGTCCAGGTTAATAGCGGCAGTAAAATGATAACATGATTAAGAATAAAGGAAAATATTTACCTCCCACAGATATCTCATCTTCTGCTTTGTAAGTTTGTAACCGCGGAGCACTTGATGATCGTGCGATCACTGCAGTAGACAGAACCGCTGGACCTGCTAAGAAAATGATATTAAACTCAATAAAAAAAAAATATTCGGTATTATCGTACACCAAGCTTTTTGACCAGTTAAAAGCATAAGGAATAATTAACAGGACTATAAGGGGAATCTCAGAAGACTACAAAGCGAGTGAAATAAGATTCTAATAGCAAGTGATAAAGTATCTAAAATTAACTCAAAAACAAGGGGCTTACTGTTGGATAATCTTTGTCGCGCTGAATCATCTGATTTACCAAAAAGTACATCTGTACTAATTAGACGGTTATCCAGCTCTAAACAGATCATTCTCAAATAATGCAATAATTGACAAAATTGACTCATAATGAGAATGAACAATATTAGAATAAAAGACAAACCTGTTAAAAAACTGACTGTGTGATGCTTGAAGCAGTAAGGAAATCTCGATCGACGTGCTAAAAATAGAATATTTCAAAATTCCATGACATGTCTTCTTAAGACGATGGTACGCAATTCTGCGTAACCTTAATAAACTGAGTAGATGGGCTCATATAATACATGCGACATCAGAATTACAACAATCAGTTCAAGCGTTGGAATCAAATCACTGCCCATTTGTAGAGGAATTGAACATGCCTTATTGAATAACTTCATCAGCATCCTGACCACTTCGCCATTAAAATCAACACTCACACACACAAAAAAGCAACAATTAAACTTATAAGCACCAGGAGAGTTGCGTCCATTCCTTGGATCAACGTTCACTTCAGAAGTCGCAGATTCGAGATCATCCGGATTCACAAAATCCCAGTTGACATCCACCGTTGATTTTGTGCAGGATATGTCGCTCATTGATTTCATTAAACCAATAAGATGGTTTTCTTTTGAAGCAGTACCATGCGCCGATGTCTCCGTATCCAGGTCGCTTATTGACGAGCAGCTTCCTGCGAAACTTCGGGAATCTGCTCCAGTTTCATTGTTTGCTGTAACACGCTGCCTACCACGATGTAAACTCCCAGGACTGTGTCGAGCTAATTCATCCGTTGCTGGAAAAATAAGTGGAGAAATATCTCGAGCATCATACAATTTATTTCAGTTGAGACGTTCAATGTAACATACTTTCTACTTTTCCAAACCTTAAATTCTTTCTTTAAACAAAAATGATGTAATTTTCATCAGTCAAATTGTATAGATAATATAACTAAAGTCATTAAAGAAACGAAAATGTATTTTTCGTTTGTTTATTACATTATATGTATCAAGATGACAAAAGGAAACAAAACTTACTGTATTGACCGCAAGCAACTTCATCGAGTGCAACCAAATTGACACTTTCATCATTTAAATCATCTTCTGAATCGTTTAGTTCTAGACGTTTTTTGGTAAGCACTAAAGCTTGCGCTGAGGTCTTGCCAACAGTAAGGTTATTGAGGCTGCCAGATGAACTAGATGAATGGCTTCCGCCCGTACCAATGTTGGTTAGAGTTCCCGGAAATGCCGGATTTCCGGAATCAGTTATGCTCTACAAGGGAATATAAACGATAGCTTAATGACTGAGGATTTGGTTTTTTCGAAAGCTACAGTTCCAAAAATTAAAGTTCAAGTTGCATTGTCTTGATTAGTGATTGATGACACTAAGAAATGAGAATAATGAGAGAAAAATGGTTGGTATAAACATTGACTCTTTGTCTTTTATCTGAAAAAATGATATTGGAGTGCAGCACGGAGCGATCGAGATGATCAGATGTCAAAATATCTAAATGCCTACACAGTATGAAAGTAAATAAATTACACCTTTTTACCGCCAGCAATCCCAATCGATGATAATGAAATAGTTGAGGTCGCACAATTTCGAGTGGAAAGCTTCGCTTTTGTCCCCGTTGGTCCTGATGACTGCTTACTATTTGAGCTGAAAATGAAAGCACAAATTTACAGTTCAGTTTAAACACATCAATATAAAATGCATGCAAACAATAATATCAAATAAATACACTTTGTTTGCCTAATGGGAAATGATACATTTTGAAATGCAGTGATAAAGGACGTGATTTCTGAACAGCAAGGTCAGAGAGTCCATCACTCATCACGATGAAAAGAATAAACTACAACATTCAATAGAGAAAATGAAACAAAAGCTAAAATTGACTATCGCAATGGACTAAGTGATAACCCAAGGACATTATGAGTTAAGAAAAATAAAAATCGTCAAGAAACAATAGAATATATCGTTTTTTTTTAAATGTTAGCCATGCCTCAACTAGTAAAATTTAGTTATCAGAAAAAAACTAACTTTGGAAAGCGCGTTTCATATATACGTTCCTTTTCAGTTAAAAAGCAAGGGTAAAGGCCCGGTGAAAACAATAGTTCGATATGAAAGCGATCAGTGCCTTGCTTCGTACTTGTTGTTCGACTGTCTTCATATATCATCAAAACCACTTGTGTCATATAATTATATTCAGTAACTGATGACAGGAAGTGCATAGCGCGTTGCCACTTCTTATCATCTACCTACATGCAATATTTAGAAAAATAATTAAGATAATACTGTCACGATCAAGAATTGGAAAAGAAAAAGTAAATAAATCATTTAAATTTTTAAACAATTTTTCAGATTTTAGTGACAGAAAAAAAGCATCAAGTATTGCATTTAACAAAATCAATGCACTGTAAAGAATTAACAAATTACATGATTTAAGCATGTAGTTGGTCTCACTTATGTGTCCTCATGGTTATGTGTCATTGTCATAAGAAACATAGTTACTCAGACAACAAGCAATAACTGCGTTGTGCACGTCAAAACAAAATAAGGAACAACCTTGCATAGACCACCATATTTTATTAAATTCATTATGGTATGTATATGTGATTCGCTCGTAAAATAAAGACGAGTGCGAACATGTCGAAGGGGTGTCGCTATTCCTTGGGATGCTCTGGAATCTTAGTAAATCTGTGTAATAAATTTTATCAAGTAATTATTTAGCTCAGTGCATTAATAGAATGCAAAATAATTACCTTGGATCCAGACGAGTTTGTGTGTCATCTTCATTTGGATTTCCGATGCAATGATAAAGATCACTTCTTATTTTTTTCAATAGTGGAGTGCAAACGTGTTGCCCGATGATTACTTTACTATTTTCACTAATTCCATACTCCTAGAAAAACTTTCAAACATTAAAAATTTGATTTTGAGATCTTTCGAAAATTTTGAGATCACATCTTCTAAGTTAATAAGAGGTAGACAAGCTCACGAGAATTTATATGAAAGACGCAGCAAGTAAAAAAAATGCTTTAATAAAAATGTATGCAAAGCCTTAGTCAGTTAAGGAAACATCAGTTTGATGGATTAAATACGAATTAAATTGATTAATATAATTCCAATGAAATTAGAAATATCCAGCGACAATCAGATACGCCATATGAATTTGAACAGCATTTGCTAGAAAAATTTTCGAAACCTGCGGAACGACGATATCCGCCATATTTTTTGCACACAAGTACATTCTTTCAAATTGGCCTTCATTATTAATACATAATTCCGGATTATGCTCCATGTCATATTTAATATTATCATAAATATCCGGAATTTTGGAAATGTCGAATTCCACATCACCACTTTTGTTAACTCGACGGAATTCATGCAATTCTTTAGCCCAACGTCGTTCTGCTAAGTCCCATGATTCATTCAAATACAGGGACCGATCTTGAAAAATACATTACAAATAAAAAATTTGATAATATTGTCAAAAATTTCGGAATAAACAGACATTTTGAAGTGTTTGTATAAAACAAACTTGATTTGTTGCATTTATTCCATTGAATTATTTCTACCATCTGCTGCACATAACTTGCAATTTCTTCGCACATTTTCCGAGGATTTTTGATAAATTCCATAGCATTTGTTAAGGAACGAATACCTGACGGATTTAAATTTTCGTGATCTTCTGCAGTCCAGTCACGATCTACCTGCAAAACAATAAAGCTTGTATCTTTCTTTTACCATATTACAATTCATTAGCTCGTATAAAGAAGATACTTGTAGTGCTGAATGAAGATAGCATTTCAGTTCCTGTTGAAAATCTCGTGCGTCAACATCATCGTCCAAAAGTCCATTAGTATTTGCTGATTTAACCATTTGCATTAAAATTGGTGTAAGTTCACCCTCCAATGCCAAAAGACCCTAAAATATCAGCAGTGGTCCTAAAAAATGGCTACCGTGAAATCTGATCCACTTCTCTCCTTCCTCAAAATTATTAATTACGATTACTCCATCAAAAAAATGGAACAATCATAACATACTTTAGCAAAAGCAGCTGCAGTCATTTGAACACGTCCCTCATCAGATGCATAAATTTTCAAATCATGCCTGTATGTACTATGAAGACGAAGAAATCCCAAACCTGAATTTCAATTTCAGCAAGTGAAGAGAATTTTGAGAAGAAAAAAACTCAAGTTCTCTGAGAAAACTTCAAGCAGCACCTTCGTCAAACTATAAACACGAAACAACAACTGAATACTTTTGAAGAAATAAAAAAACAAAATATGCAGAAAATTCAAAGCGCTAACTCTCAACCACTTTAGAGAAGAAAATATACCTTGCGTATCCTCTGGACAGCTTTTACCATCAGTTCTCCGAATTCCAGGATACAATGTTCTGAATAGCTTTCCAAGCGCTTCCGCTTGTAAATTCCCTGGAAAAACTTCAAGTTCAGTGCCTTTGTTAAACTATAAGCACAAAACAACAACTGAACACTCTCAAAGAAAAGTGTACCTGCAGTGGTCAATTCTCCGCCCCATTTCAGAATAAGCATAAGTGCTGACTGCTGATGCACTTCTTCATCATCAGAGCTTTTCACTTCACGTGGTTTCAAATACTTCAACTGCACTTTTCTATTGATACCCGAAAAATGACCATACCTGCAAAAAATTTTAATTAGAAGATAGCGATTTTCAGTGCATAGTAACTTAAATACAAAAACACTTACATCTCAAGAACAGTACGCACTTGATCCCATTTCTTGATTGCCTCTTCACACTGTTCCAAATCTCTTTCAAGTTTGGAGGAACTGTCGTCACTATCTTCATAAGATTTCATTTCTTTTAATGATTCATTACGACGCACCTTGAAAATGTAAGGATACTTTTTAACAGCTCTAAAGGAGTAAATTGTTGCATTAATAGAATTACTCAATAATTGTTCTTACTTGCTGCTCATGAAGAATTTCGCGAGCAAGTTCTAGAACTTCCATAAGTTGGTTCGGACGTTTCATCTTGATTTCATTTTTATTGAATCCATTATACTTCTTGAATAAATCGAAGAATCGCTGATCAGTTACAAGAATCTGTTAATAAACAATGATAATAGAGCCATTAAACAAGAAAGACATGAGTGAAAGGTTGACGCAAGATATAACAAAACAAACACAAATGTGAGCAATCTCATTCTAAAGATTTCAACAGGACATTACAAAAAAAAGAGTTTATATAGCAGAAAAATGGTTTAAAAAAAGCATTCAGATAATTTATTACAATTATTCCTTTGAACATATAAAAATTTTACACAGCTACCTTCATTTTCTGTTTCGGAGTCCGATCACCATGCCTAATAATGGCAATGACACACCGTAATTCCATTATTTTTCCACTCGGTGTTGAAACTAGAGGTGGGTCATCTGCAAGTCAATCAAAAATGAGATTCTTTAAGAAATAAGAAATACAACACAGTTCAACTACATATCCATAAATGGACAGAATTATTTATAAAAAGATTAAGACGGTAACCAACCATCCTGATATGGAATTTGCCATGGTATACTCATTGATGATGCCAATCGCCGTAATATAGTATTCCCTAAAATTTTAGCCGTGTCCTCATAATATTTTGTTGAAGTTTTGACAAATGAGAACC